GACACATTAAAATGAAAACTACCCATACCATAATGTAGAGCATATGTAGTCCAAACAGACTTAAATCACTCTTACCTTAAACCACTCATGTAAAAATCTTTAGAATCAAACACTATGTAAAAACTATGTAGCTGAACGTAATGCAATCTATCATAACCGTATAAATTATGATTTACAAACACCAAGAGATAGACAGTAAAATAGGTAGAAAAAAAGAGAGGTGAATGGGGGGACAAGGAAACTATAGCCATTTTTTTTTTTTTAGATCTAGTCCATGGCGAAAAGAAACATATATGTAATTAATAAATATAAATATACATGTAAATGAAATCCACTAAGCCAATATATTTCTATAGCGAAACCTTGGGGGTATTAGGTTAATTCCAATTTCTTCTACTATATTAAATTTAGGCTCTGCAGCCATCACAGTTAATTCAATTCTATGCTAGCTGAACTTTTCACCTTGAAATAAATATTATATATATGGAGAATAGTTTGATCTGTACCTCCAGAAAAAAAAATCCCATCTCCATTACATTAGCATGTATTAAATGAGGAAAGTGAAGTATGTAACCCGGATAGCACGTTGAATGGTTTTCACTGGCCAAATAAAGTGAGTTTTAGTGGACTTCTGATCTTTCAAGCGCAGCAACAGAGAACCAGAGACCTGAACTTTCTCCCCAGTGATCAAAAACACAAATATTTATTGCACACGTATGTTTAGGAGATGCTTTGCTAGATAAGGATCTGCATTTCAATGAGCAGACCAAAAAACAGACTGAACAAAGAAAAGGCACACAGATCTGACATCTATTTCAGACACGTGTGTTTTTTCTTCTTCTCTTATCTGATGCAGTGTGTAATTTGTGAATACATATACATGGGGCTAGTGGAAATATGGCGCATTATGTTTGATCTATAGCGCCACATGCTAAAATAGAACAAGACACTTTTGGATGGGACATGCTCTTTAATTTCCGGTGTGTTCCGTTTCTTTAATATTATAGGGACATATCCATTAACAGTCTATAAGTTCTTAAAAAGATATAGCAGTAGATTTTCCGCAAAATCAACGAGAAGAAGGGAAAAAAGCGCAAAGTTCCCTCAGGGTTTAAGAGGCTATAGAGACGCGCCTTGGGGAGATTTGCAACCATTAGATTCCTTGTTCAATGGGTGGTCAACCGCGTTGTAAATAAATTATTGATATAGTTATATTGTTATAAAAATACAGGTTTAGCTAGTCAGCCATTGACCTAACACACCAATGGTGGCTCTCGATGCAGCCATATTTAGCAGGCGCTTTACCACCCTACTGGCACCAGGTGACGCTGTGGCCTCATTGTCTTCTTTTTTCGACTTGGGGCCTTCAGTTTGTTCTGCCAACATATCAGATACGTTTCACAGGCTTCCATCAATAACCTCCTGGGGTCATCAAGCCAAATTTATGACTGGCCAACAGAGTCACGTGATTCTATTTAAACATCCCATATTTGGGCAGAGCACATAGAATAAAGAAAGAGGATTCCCCAGCTATAAATTCTGCACTTTAGAGAACAAAACCCCTGAACTTCAAAGGGCCACAAATCAAGCCTAATCAAAGGGTGCAAAAATAACAATAATAATAATAATAATCAGCCATGAGCTCGTACGTAGCCAATTCATTCTATAAGCAGAGTCAAAATGTTCCAGCCTATTCCATGCAAAGTTATGGGAATTATGGATCTGTATCCGAGGTCCCTTCATCCAGGTATTGCTACAGTGGGTTGGATCTGAGCATTACATTCCCATCTCCTGGTTCTTCAAACTCTCTAAACGGTATGGACATGCCTTCAAACCCCACTACAAACTCTGATCGGCCTTCCTGTAATGTAATGGGCACTTCGGTGCACACACTTGGTAGAGGAGAGCAAGGTGCCCTCAGCCCTGGGATTTACAATCAGAAAGCGGGGAGCACTTCGTTGGAGGACAGATCTAAAGGGATTGAGAACATCAAATCAGAACCGGTACAAACAACTCCACAAGGACAGCAACAACCACAGCAGCCACAGCAGCAGCAGCAGCAGCAGCAGCAGCCACCCCAAATATACCCCTGGATGACCAAACTGCACATGAGCCATGGTAAACTTTCACTTCTCGCTTTTGTTTCATAGGGTTTTGCATTGGTTTTTATAGGCCATACGGGGCAAATAATAAAAAAAACCCGAGGTCGTAAATTTTACGACTTAGGCATCAATTGCTCGTAAAACTGTCCACTAAAAGGCTTACAGGCTATAGACGTCCAAATTTATGACAGCATAATTGGATCATAGGAACAAAACGTGTAGAAAAGACAATAATTCCATTTTTAGGGAGAAGGAGAAAAATATTGTTTTTTGCAGGAAAACAAACAATCATGTGCACTTGTTTAGTTAATTTTGCTGACAAGATTGACTTTGCAGTTAAAGGTAGTATATTTAAAACAGCTTTTTGGTGCCTAAGTATTTTACTAAGGTAACTTTATTCTTTGCAAAACAATCTAATAAAATATGCATGTTTATGTACTTAAATGCATGTAGCCTAGTGTGTATTACGTCCTGCTGTATTAGGCTTTGGCAGGCACCGTTTTATTTTTGTGGTTTTTAAGGGGTTTTTCTTTCTCTTCAAAGAGGCGTTATTACTACAGTATTATTGTATGCTAAATTTATATACCCCCTACTACCTTCTCCTCCTTAGAAACTGATGGCAAGCGTTCCCGGACAAGCTACACTCGATATCAAACCCTGGAACTAGAGAAAGAATTCCATTTTAACAGATACCTGACACGTCGCAGGCGCATTGAAATAGCCAACAACTTATGTTTAAACGAGAGGCAGATCAAGATCTGGTTCCAAAACCGAAGGATGAAGTGGAAGAAGGATTGTAAAGTCAAAACCAAAGACTCCCTTTAAATGGCGACCTCAAAGGAGCTAAATATTTAAACTGAGTTTTACTACATCTACTTAAAGAAACTTTTTTTTTTGCCTTTTGTGTGAAGGGAGGTGGATGGGATCAAGGGAAGGTAAAATAACTACAGGGATTCTGAGTTGATTAACACCTCTAACACAAGACAGTCCCCCTATATTTTGAAAGCAAAATAGTGTATAGATCTGTATTTTATCCATTAAGTGTATTATTTTGACTAATGTCAGTCTCAAGGTGTAAAATGTGGAGGCAGAAAATGTTTAGGCAGCTCCTTGTATAGTTTACTATCCCAGGCGTCATTGTGCTAACTGTGCAATCTGTCCAGGGTCAAAGAAAGTTCTTTGGAAAAAAAAATGCTAATTGGGGTACTAGGCTGAAAAGGACAGGCAAAGAGTGGCTGTATTATATTGTGCTTATTATAATAGGGGTCATATCTTTGGTAAGCAGTTAGATTTGGAAAACATAAACAATAGAAAACACAAGTCTAAAGTTTCAAGATGAAACTTTGCCATTTGTTATATAGTATTGTACATACACACATGAGTGTGTAAAATCCACTATGATGTGTCCATGCACTTGTATAGTCTTTAAAAAAAAAACCCATACGTGTCACACACTACAGCGTGAATTTGTTTTTTATGTTTCATTTTAATAGTAGTGTTTGTTTTTCCCCCTAGAGTCAAATATGTGTCCACCTATTCTTATTACCTTTTGCCTACACACTATGGTTTACTCAGTAATACAATGTATGTGTGCAGGATTTAGTTTGTCTTCTTTTGGCATTTTGGAAGGGAACAAATCGCCAAAATGTATTTTCATGTGTAATTTATTGTGTTTTTTTAACATATTTTTTCCAACATTTTGCGTTATTAATGCTGAAGTGTATAAAACAATTTGTACTTCATTGTTTAATATAATCATTTTAGCCAGTTTTATGCGATAATGTAACTCATATATTTATTGGTTTCAGTTTCATATGTGAAAATCATGAATCTTATATTTTGTCATATTGAATAAACTGCAAGTAATATAACAGATGAATCTGTGGTAACAACTATGTTTTTCTTGTATATTGCTGGCCAGGGAAAGAGGTAATCCACTTATTCAGTATAAGGATAACCTTGTATTTTAGCATAGATGTGACAGGATCGTATAGAAAATATCTCTAAAGTAAAATATCTTTTATATACATATGGAATCAGGCTTTAAAACCTAACTGCAAATGAATAGATATGTACATAATAGAAATCAGATATGTATAAAATATATACGTAAATATAAATATAACCAAACCACTAAAAAAATATGTCAAAGCAAAATGAGTCTAAAATAAATGACGTACCTGTTTTTTTCCAGTAATGAAATCCCTTATGGGCAGACTCAAGACAGTATGATGACCTGTAGTGTGTCTCTAGAAGTAAGGCTAAAAAGCTTAAAAACCCCAAACATGGTCAAACTGGTTCTCTTGTTGTGAAAGTTTTACCCCAAGAACTGCTTTAGAAAGTCTGGAGAAAATTGTCCGAATCTGTTATCTGTAATCTGGCTTGAGAACTATTTACAGTAGGGACAAATGCTTTGAATAAGCCAAGAGCACCATAAAACTTTATGGCACTTCCCTTACACGTTGGGACAAAAGAGGAGCTTCCTGATATTGGAAGCCTAAAACCCTTTGAAGATGAGTCCTGGAGCTAAACGTTTTTTTAAAATCTTGAATCACACATTGTTGAAAATAATAGTGTACATTTTATGGTTTGCCTGTAATTAGCCTGTGCTGTGGTTTTGGTTTAAAAACCTTGTCAGGTATAGATTATTTGTCAGGCTGGGTTTCCTGATGTTTTTGATATATGAGTACCACCTTCAGCTCCCCAACGTCCCCTGTCATCGTGGTGACGTCATCCTTCCAGTACCCAAGACTCTTCATTTATCCAAGACTTCCAAACCCCCCAAAATTGAAGTTAGGATGTGACTTCTGTCAACACTACTAATACACACAATTCGCTGCAGTTAATTCACATCTACACTGTTGTTAGCATACAACTAAGCACACATGTCAGGGCATATAAACTCAGTGTACTGAATCTTGACCCCTGCTTATGAGACCCCTGAAGCTCCAGACTAGGAAACTTTTGTAGCTGAATGGGACTCCAAGCTTACATTACAACTAATCAGTCTACTAGCAAACATAACCTAGGCCATTTCCAGCCAAACATTTTGAGTCAAAAGTGGAAAAAAAACCCCATCCAGACAACACATAACAAGCAAAATAATCCTTACTAAATGTGCTCAGGTACACTTTTACTGCAGACTGCCAAAATAGCTGACATCAGTGGGCAGCTAGACCTGAATAATAACGCAATGACACCGACCTATACCATGTGTGACTCATCTTCCAGAAAATAAGTCTAAAAATGGAAAGAAAAGCGTCGAAGGGAAAAAGGCAACTTACCTTTCCTGTAAAAACTGTGACCTCTATTTTAGAAAGGTTACCTAGGCAAAGGATTAATAAAATGATAAGTCCACGTCTTTGTGAGACATTGCTTTTAGTTTAAGAGAGAACATTAGTGCAAATACTTCTGGCTTCTATTCTATGTGAATTTAGTAGTTTAAAAGTTTTGAAAGGTTATTTATGTGGATGGCCATAAGGAAAGACCCTGAATGGTTCTTCTGGAGCACGTGATGTCATTAAAGTAAGTTTTATGGTTTGGGGGAGCTGACAAAGCTACAATGTATTTACATCATATATAATCTTAACTGTCCACCATCGCAGCTGCTGGGTCTCTTTAATGCTAGGACAGTGGGACAAGGCGGTTAGTGTGGATTACGTCGCCTTGTGAAAGCTGAGAATGAGGGTTCATCAGCCAAAACCACCCCAGGCAAATGGAGGGAGCCATTTTCCTTTCTCTTTGAACTATATAGGATTTAAGGTAACGTTTTAGATTCGTATCAATGCTATTATTATTAGTGATTTTTTCTTCTTCTGCATTTTAAGGGTGTAACAATAGTTCTGTAAAGTTCTGTTCATTTGGTGGATCCGGCTTTAATCTCTAATGTAGGTGTAGTTTAGCTTGCCCAGTTTGGTCTTGGTCACATATATCTATATATATATCTATATATATATCTATACAGATATATAGATATATGAAAATGTTAAAATAATTGGATGCATATATATCTGTCAGGGACCTTTGTAGGTGCTCTGTGTTGGCAGTAGAAAAGGGAGTGCAAGGTAACTTAGCACACTGTGAGATGTACGAAGGAGCATGTACTCAAAGTTTGTAGGCTATAGAAGTGCATGCGCAATGTCTGCAAACGTTTATCATGAGGTGTCTGTACTTTTAACTCATGCGAGCTCATAGCTCTCCCCACCAGGGGTAAAGGGGTTGATTGACAGCAGAAGACATGGGCAACTACAACTTCCAACAGCATCATTGGGTTTACAGAAAAGCCCTGTTATATGAACATGCCCGTATAGTCACCCAATAAAGGTATTTTATGGTGTCTTGTGGTAAGCACTATATAATGTTAGTACTCCGGGACCCCAATGCTTCATGCAATCTAGTCACGATCTGCCTTACCATATCTTTCAGCTACTCAACTCCTTCTTCCCCCAAAGTCATTAGGAGTCCTCCAGGTGAGCTTAGAGTTGTGTGCAGAGCTCAACAAACGGGTTTTCCTTTTTGAGGCTAGGGTTGTAAATACTTTGGATATTTTCAGCATGGTTTCAGGCCAAATGTACATCAAAGGATGTACTGAACAGACAAAGAGCACACAGATGTGTTACAGAAAGCTTGGGATACATGGGACTGATATAGATCCATAGATAGATAGATAGACAGACAGACAGACAGACAGACAGACAGACACAACCAGGCACATACAGATACATATTTATTTGCATGAGTGTAGATGTGACTTTATGTTTTTACATTTGTACTTCTCACGACATGCAATAGATGGCTGGCTTATACCCAGACATTCTGTATAGATGAGCAATTCGCATATATATGTGAAAATAAAAATCCAATCATTTTTCTATCTGTTTACCGCTTCATAGTAACATCCCCTCAATTTCAGCATCTTGTGGTAAAGCAGCATTTAAACATGCAGATTATTTATGCTGATAGGCTTTCCTTTGCTGGGTAACACTGATGTCTGCTCTGCTCGAATGTAATATAGTTGCAACTTGCATCAGGGACGCAGCACCAACCAGAGGGCATGGCATGCCGCTTTTAATTAATTGGACTCATTTCTCTAGAATTGATGCTTCCATATAGAAACAGCCATTTTCACAATGTATTAATTTTCAAGGCACTAAAATAAATTGTACAAATGGAAAGGACTGCTATTTTGCGATTTTTATTTTGGTTTTAAGCACTTTAAAACTTAAGCCACAATGCAAACTAAGTGATGTCGGTAGCCATTAAAAAGGAAGGATTTGAAAGAATCAAATGCAACATCATGGAAAAAAAGGAAACGCAAAAAACACGCAGGGTACAGACAAAAGTAAACTTGTTTTTAGTTTCTACAAAAGTATCAACTTTTACTTCATAGAGAAGCAGAATCTAGGACATTGATTAGACCACAGAGATCTAGGTATATACATTCACTATGATGTCGGTTGTACCGCATCAGATAGTCCCAGTTAACAGGAGTAGTGGATACCTGGCTCAGCCTCCCAGGACCTGTCACAATACAAGGGAGGGTGTGTTTGTCTCAATGACAAGCAAAGGGAAAATCTTCCTGAAGTCTGGAGGGGGTAGAGAATTGGCAGCCATACACCACTGGCATGGAGACATAGCATCTGCTGTTTCGCTTTCAAATAATAATAGGTGTAAAGACGTGTTCCTGAAATACATCTCTCTTCTTTACATGGAGGGAGGAGTGTTTATCATTGCCCACAATCTACAATCTCAGTCATGCAAACACTGCAAGTTTAACATTATTTCCAAAACAAACAAACTGGCGAAAAGATCACAAAGGTTTTGCAGACCCACACCTATTTACTAAGCACTACACACTACTGCAGGCAGAGGGGGAGTTTTCACTGGTGAGGGTCTTGTAGCTGGTGTCCAGTATCTAAGGATCACCATACACATACAATCTCTGTACAATCAACTTGGGGTCTACCAAAACTGTAACATGAGGACCTAATCTACACCATCAATTTGTATCCAATCAGGCAGGCTTGTGTTACTTCTTGGTAGATCTAAAGGAGATTGTACAATCAGATTGTAATGTGTTTGGTGAACGCACAGCGATTTTTATTTAAAGATTGGAATGCAGGGGTTTTGTTTTCAAAGGGGGCATGCACACAGGTACATAAATAGGTGCGTTCAGATCCGTAACGCGCAGCGTTTTTTCTTTACATTCCAGATTGGAATGCAGGTGTATTGTTTTCAGTGGGGACATGCACACAGGTACATAAATAGCTGCGTTCAGATCCGTAATGCGCAGCGTTTTTTATTTATGGATTGGAGTGCAGGCGTATTGTTTATACTACGGATATGCACAGAGGTGCGTAAACAGCTGCGTTCAGATCCGTAACACACTGCGTTTTTATTTACGGATTAGAATGCAGGCGTATTATTTATACTAGGAATATGCACAGAGGTGCGTAAACAGCTGCGTTCAGATCCGTAACACACTGCGTTTTTTATTTATGAATTAAAATGCAGGCGTATTATTTATACTAGGAATATGCACAGAGGTGCGTAAACAGCTGCGTTCAGATCTGTAACGCAATGCGTTTTTTATTTACAGATCAGAATTCAGGAGTATTATTTATACTAGGGACTTGCACACAGGTACAAAAAACAGCTGCGTTCAGATCCGTATCGCACAGCATTT